TGAGGGATCCCGCCCTGCAGATTGGCACCACCTTTTTGAAAAGCTGGACCCATAAAGCTCTTCATAACCACTGACCCCACAAAGAAATGACTCAACTGAAGAAACAAGCAAACAAACACATAACAGTAGCAACAAAAAGGCAAACTTCCCTTCTTAAAGATATATGTGGCATTACCTGTTGAAGGATATATATCAGGGGAAAAAGAGTATTTCAGCGTTCGAGGGATGGAAGGTGAATTTGACTTAGGGGATTATTGGAATATGATGCAATTGTTTACAATAATAGTTTTCAAAATGACTTAGATCTTGAGAAAATAGTGCCGATTATATGTTAAAGTAGTATTATATGTGCACTAAGACAGAAACCACTTAAAATGTCTCCACATACTAAACATGCTATTTGATGTGAGCAAATGTAAAAAAAAAAAAAAAAAAAGGTAGAGTAACAGACTTCAGGGTGTGTGTTTTTCTCACATTCCTCCTTAACAAGAAGATACGGGTTTTGTGAACACAGAGACGGGGGCCTGGGGTGCGGGACCCTGACTGGCAGGAGGGCAGCACAGCCAGGTCTGAGCAGGGAAGCTGACAGTGGGCGTTGGGGCCTTGGGGAAAGAGGTGGGAGCCAGTCCTGGGGAGGAAGGCCCAGCCTCTGGGGGATCCTCTCATGAGGATTTATCATAATTCAAGAAACAAAGATCAATGATGTTAACATTCTCTCAAAATGATGATGGAGAAACTAATTACTGAGAAAAAAATTTTAAGATAATGGAAAATAAGATGTGTGCATATAAGTATTTTTACCTCTTAATCAATTGTGATTAGGAAAGCCAGTGCCTTGAGCTGTTGTCTGGTGACAAGATGCATAGCCTCATTCCATCGGCCTGGCCATTACTTAACCAGGGGCTTGATGGCAAGAAACACATCACCCACTGGTTCATTTTATGGCTCATTGAACAAGCATAGCAGACCCCCATTACTGCTTTTTGGCATTAAGGAGATTTTGAAACGTATGCTCTGCTAATGATGCTGGAATTAGCAAAGGTCAGAGTGAACGTTAATGGAATTCTTAGAACATTAATGGAATTCTTATCCGCACAGAGTAAGTGGCCCATTTCCTCCTCCTGGTAATGGTGTGGGTGCTATTAAAAGCCAGGCTGGAGCCCACACAATGAGGAAATTGCAGCCCTCGACAGGAGGCATCTGATGACTGCCTAATACACAGGTTCCCCCCACACAGCCTGGGTGCTCTGGGGGAAGGGGCGGCCGGAGCAGCGAGGGGACAGGCACACCTATTCTCTTGGGCATCAGGAGAAGGCTGGACTGACTTAAGGGTTCTTGCTTTCAACAAGGCTCCATTTAAAGACTTCACAGGCAGGGTCTCCCCCTAAGGCAGGGGGCTACTCAAGTCTATTTTCCCTTTGAAATAATCCTCTGGATTGTTAAAGTGTTTTAGATTCAGTGATCTTATATACTGTTTTTAATGGATTTTTAAATAAAAGCAGATAAAACATCACAACGGAGTTACTAGGGGGTTGCCAAGGGTGGGGGCTCCGAACCCCCCCAGGCCTCTCCTCAACCCCTTCTGGTGGTGCCAGGGATGCCCCTACACCTCTGCAGGATCTAAGGGACCCATTAGAGACCCCAACCTCGCCGGGTGCCAGCCATGCCTTCACATTGGGCACACCTGTCTGACGACATGGGCAGTCGCTCCAAGTGGACCCTGCTGTGGGAGGGCTGGCTGGTCGGGCCTTGAGCACTTTCTCTGGCAAGACAGGCCGATAACGGACAATGTGTGGCCTGGCCAGGCCACGACACAGGACCAGGAGCTCCCACCCACACGTTGGCAGCAACCAGACTCTGGAGACTTGCCTTGGACTCTGGGAAGGAGCAGAGCCTAGTCTCTCCAAGGCAGGGCGGCAAGGCCCAGCACATATGGGCACCAAATGTAGATGCCCCCAGAAGAGCCGTCTTGGCAGCTGCCTCACCTTGACCTCAGTGCCTGAGTGGGGGCAGGCTCTCTCAGTCTATGGTTGTTTAACTTCCTGTTTGGTCAGGAGGCATAATTCCAGAGAGATTCTTGAGGACTCTTGGGGATGCGGTGGGCTCTAAATGTTGCAGCGTTGCTTCTGTGGGCTGGGCTTGCCAAGCTGGATCCAGAGAGGGACTGTCTCATGTCATGCTCCCAATCACCCAGCCAGGAAGGACTATTCTGCCCATTCTAAGAATGAGCAGACAGAGGCTTGGGGAAACTAAGATGGCTTTTCCAGGGTCATACGGCGGGTATGCGTCAGGGCCTGGACTGTGTTGTTACCCAGGATAGAATCAAGCATACAGTAAGTGCTCATAAATGCCGATTCTGTTTTCCCTCCTCAGCATCAGTGGATGTAGATATTGTTTCTCTACCTGACCTGGTCCCTGAGAGGGGGAACTCTCTGTCCTCAGGGCTGGCAGAGTCTGGTGAGTGGCTGGGATGGGATCCAAACTCCTGAGTGTGGTCTCCTTCACCTGGGCTCTGATTCCTGCCCAGGAGCAGAACAGCCTCTGACCCCTGGGCAGGTGCCCAATGGGAAGATCCCTTGACCACTGAAACCCACTTTCCCCACCCTCCCTCCTACACAGAGTCGGGCAGGTGTGAAGCCTCAGGGTAGGAGTCCCCAGACCACCTACTCCATGCCTTTCTGTTAGAACTTCCCCCTCCCCCGCCCAGGGACTGGAACTCAGCACCCTCCCACGGGACCTTCCTCCCAGCGTGTCTGCCAGGAGGGCTGGAGCTCAGGATGAGGCCCTCCCCAAACACACTTTGCTGATTTAACCCAGCCTGAAGGGTTAGTAGAACATTTCCAGGTGGAGATGGAAGGAGACGTGGTATCTGTCAGCACAAATGTGTAGAAGTACCGAGCTGGGGCTGATGCTGGGGTTGGTAGAATACGTTGTGCAGGACCCTGGAGCTAGTGGGGGCTCAAGGGGCTCTGCATTGCCTCAGGGAGTCTGAACTCAACCTTGGAGGCAGAGATCTGGGAACGCAGGGTCTCATGCAGGGTGTGTTCACCAACACCCCAGCTGCTCCGTGGACACGACTGCAACAGGCACGGAGGCGAGGCTCACAGCTGCCCAGGCCAGGGCACCACTCCTGCCCTTGGCCTCCACGGCAGGACCTGTCTTTCAGTGGGAGTTTGGTGGGTGTGATGTCAGCAGCCCTGCAACGTGCTTGAGGGGTTGGGTTTCTCTTCTTGAGCTTCTGCTGCCACCATCGACCCAGAAGAATGAGAGACACATAGAGCAGACCCAGACCCAAGCACACGCCCGCACCCCCGAACTCATGCTAACCCGCAGACCTGTGAGGAAGTGTTCCGTGCTCTTTCGCAGAAGCTGCTCAATGTGGCATTATTGCCTCCACAGCCTGTAGAGAGGAATTCTCCAGTGCATGCCAAATTAGAGGCCAGCACACCCCCCGTCCCCACCTCCTCAACCACTCACCCTGTGAGCCTCAGCCTGCCCCCCAGCACAGGCCAGGTCTCTGCGACGTCTGCTGGTCTTGTCAGCCGCTCAGGGCTCGTGCGGGGCCTGTGGGCTTCACTCGTGGCCACGCTGAGGGGTGCTCCTGCAGAGTTGCGGACCGCAGGACCGGGGGAGGTGTGTGACAACCAAGGCCATGGGGAGGCACTCTACGACTCGTTCCTTCTGCCCACCCTGGCTCTGGGCTCCAGGCCAGGACGCGTCCACCTGCCCCACAGGCCTGGTGCAAGGGCGGCCAGTCACAGAGACCCCATGGATCTGGTCCACATGGTCCGACTGCCGGGACCAGGGAAGTGTCCAACCCTACTGGTGTTTGCAGTGCAGTTGGGAGTGAAGCGCTGCCCCGTGGGGTTGCTGCTGGTGGACAGCAAACTCGCCATGTCTCCTGCCTGCAGCCCATGTCCCTGACTCTGGGGGGTGGGAGCCCCTGCTTGGGGTGCTGCTGATGGGCAGGCCAGCACTGAGTGAGCAAACTCCCCACGTCTCCTGCCTTCAGCCCATGTCCTGTGAGAGGGCGGGTCAGAGGTGGAGGGCAGATGGGGGCGGGGGGTCCTAAGAGGCATGTGGCAAATGGCCAGAAGCAATATCTCTAGTCCCTTAGAGGGGGGGCTCTGTCTGGGGCACAAGGTTGTCCAGCCGTAGGATGAACCTCCAGACAACTGCTGTCTATGTGTGCTCAGGCTCCAGAGCCTAGAGTCCTCCACAAATTAACCTTACAGCTGGGAGAACATCATCATCTCTAATGGCGGGGAGGCAGAGGGAGCACAGCTTCCTCTAAGAAAACCTGCTGTCGGAACCCAGTTAGGTTCAATTAGGCTAAGAGCTGATTGCTCAGTTCGCTGAGGAGCTGGTGGTTCACCCAGCTTTGCCTTGGAGCCCTGGCTCCCAGGATCCCATGAATCGAAGGCATTGTAAATGAGGGGCGCATGTCGTCCAAGAAACCCCAGTCCCCATTGGCAACAGTGTCTGTTCAGAGCACACAGCAAGGGTCCTTGCAAACGGCTCAGGCCTCGTGGGAAGGTGCCCACGAGGGTGGCAGTGCAGTGAGAACATTGGGCCCGTGACAGATTCACTCCCTGAGCCCCGGGAATCTGCCTCCCAGAGGGTTGAGGTGCCTGCTGATGAAACCCAGTGCTGGGGGGGCCCGAGCTGGCCCACGGGGATGGCCCCCAGCAGGCACTGCTGCCAACGGAGGCCATGCCTCCTCGCTCCCGTAGGGGTGGTTCGAAGCTCTCCTACTCCCGCATCCTGTGGACCGTCCCTCCGGACCCTCCTCCAAGGTGGGTGTTAGCTCCTTGGGTGGCTGGCCAACAGAAGCAGCAGCGGGGAGAAATGCCTTTGAAAATGCTTCCGGCAGGAAACATTCAGACACTTTAAGTATACACCTCGTATCGAACTAAATGACTACTTTGCTGCCCTTGATAACTATGATTTCTTTACCTTCCTGTAAACAGGGACCTGGGCTTTTTATTTTTACTTTGCAGAATACAAGATTGCTCAACGAATCCTTCTCCAGCGGCTGCCAGTGCAACCTCTCCAGCAGGCTTCAGGAGAAAGAGCAACACATCCCCTCGTGGGAGGTCTCTGCCTCCACACCCCGACGCCCACCCCCAAATCCAGCAGGGACTAGACGCCCGCCGAGGAGCCAGTAGAACAGAATGGGGTGTGGGAGTCTTTGCTCCAGCACCTCCCATTCAGACCCATGAGTCCTGGGAGTGCCAGTGCCCTGCAGACCTGTGAATGTGGCCAGGCCCGTCACGGGGCCCGAGGGCTCCGAGGGAGCGGCAATCCCTCCCATTCTCCTGTGTGGAGAACATGCGGTGCTGAGAACAGCTGTGGCCTTTGCAGCCCGGGGTGAGCTCTGCCGGGACACTGTTTCTTCTGTCCCTGCCACCTGGTGGGGCCTGGGGGCACCTCGTGGGGGCAGCTCCTGGCTGAGCCTGGCCCATCAGAGCCCCTGGTCTCTCTGGGCACACGCCTGGTCCAGGCTGAGACCATCTCCCAGGCTGATGTGAACACACGTCTGGGGACAGAGGTCACCAGCTCCAAGGGTGACACAAGCCCGGGGCTGCCTTGCCGCCCTCTGCGAGGGGCTTCCTGAGTGAGGCGGATGCACAGGGAGGGCCCAGGGTCATGGTTTGGAGATCTAGGAGGTTTTTCAATGACCCAAGCTAATAGAATGATTATGTTGTAACCTGTATTTTGTCTGGTTTGGTTTGGCTTTGATCTTTGTTACTGCCTGAGTCACCCAGTTAGAACAGGTGCAGCCTCCCCGACCTCCAGCGACCTTTGTCACTACTCAGATGCTGTGGCTCTCAAGCTCGAACACATTGGGGTTCACTGAATGGGCTTGTTCGATGGAGGGGGCAGGCAGGGCCAAGGAGTGTAGATCTTCCACAAACGTCCCATCTCAGCAAGGATAAAATCTACTATGTGACATTGGCCATTCTGGCCCCCACGTGTATAATCTCTAGGAAGGCATTCTCATCAGATCTACACTGACGAAGGAGCTCGCTGCCCCATCAGCCTCCCCACCAGCTCCGAGGCAGCTCTGTGTGGGCCATGTTGGCACCCCTCCAGCCCCTCTGGGACTGCACTCAGGTGCTCCTGTGTGGGAAGCCCAGGTGACAGTTCTGAGGCCGAGGGCCACCCCGGCACTGTCCTCGGGCTGTGACAGATCTCAGCCCCCACAGGCAGGTGGGAGTCCTGCTCTGGCAACTGAGTGGGGACCCAGGAGAAAAACATTATTCTGCAGATATTCCTTTCCTCTTCCCTTTGATCCCCTCAAGTCTGCGTTTCATCATGTACATCGTGTGCATTTCTGTGAGGGGCCTCCGATGGGCCCAGTTGAGATGAGAATGGGTGTCAGAAGCAGGCCATCCCATAATGAAGGAGGTCTGTTGAGACCTGAAAATTTGCTGAAAGTGAACAGCTTTGATGATCAAAACTTTGCCGTTAGAATTCATATTTCATAGGCTCTTCCTGAATAAAAGGGCAACAAATAATTTAGGTTTAATTGTTTGCCAACAGCTGAGTAACACAGCCCAACTGCACGTTAGCAGAAGGAGCAAGATGGTGGGAAGTGCCTTCTGTCGGACTCCCATGCCGAAAGCACAATTTGATAAAGGATTTCAGAGTCCTCAGTTTAAATACATTTTAAATTTTTTTAATTTTAATTTTTTTTTGAGAGAGAGAGGAGGGGCAGAGGGAGAGGGAGAGCATCTTAAAAGCAGACTCCATGCCCAGTGCAGAGCCTCACGTGGGGTTTGATCTCACGACCCTGAGATCATGACCTGAGCCGAAGCCAAGAGTCGGACGCTTAACTGACTGAGCCACCCAGGTGGCCCTAAACACATTTTTTAAAAGTCATAGACCAGGTTGGTGGCTGGGCTCAGAAGGGGTAACCCTAACCCTTCTCCCTACAGGTGGATGTGTTCACCAACCTGGAAGTGCTCCAAACACTATACTATTGGGGTTTTTATGGAGGCTCAGCATGCAGGCATGATCAATTATTCACTCCATTTCCCTCTCTGGAGAATAGGGCATGGGGCTGAAAGTCCCAAGCTTCTGATTAAGGTTTGGTCTTTCTGGTGACTATTCAGGACCCACCAAAAGCCACCTCATTGGAATAAAAAAAAATGTTCCGATAACCCAGGAAATTCAAAGGAGCTCTGTGCTGGGAACTGGGGTCAAAGTCCAAATACCAGAACAAAAGATGCTCCTGGCACCATCACTTAGGAAAGTACGAAGTTTTTAGGAGCTCTGGCTAGGAGCTGGACATGAAGACCAAACCATATATATATATTTTTAAAGATTTTATTTATTTGAGAGAGAGAGAGAATGAGAGAGAGAGAGCATGAGGAGGGGAGGGTCAGAGGGAGAAGCAGACTCCCCGCCGAGCAGGGAGCCCTACGCGGGACTCGATCCCGGGACTCCAGGATCATGACCCGAGCTGAAGGCAGTCGCTCAACCAACTGAGCCACCCAGGCGCCCCAAACCATATATTTTTTATTATGTTACAACATCACAACCAATATCGATCCTTCCTTTCTTCTTAGTGACAGTTCTCCCACCTGAATTGCTGATGCATTTTCCAGACTCCCTTGCAGTCAGTGCAGGTGGGTAACTAGGTTGGGGATGATGGTGTATAAGCAGGAATGGTGTCTGAGAGCTTCTGGAGACCCCCTTGAAGACAGGGCGTGACCAGACGTGAAGGCTGGAGCTCCGGCAGCCACTGTGGAGGGAGAACAGAAGCCACACACAGTGGGATGGAAGAATTCCTGCTCGCTGGTAGCCCCACTGCAAATTTCATGCAAGCAGGGAATGCCAACCTCCAGGCTTCCTTCACCAGAAAGAGAATGCATTTCGGACTTATTTTAACCAGTGTTATTTTGGCTTTCTGTTTATGTAGCTGAACCAAATCATAGGGAATAATAAACACCAGTGGCCACCTCTGCGATTATTACAGGGCCGTCTCCCCTACAGTATAACATTGCTCAGAACCTGTATCAGCATCCTCCTTCATGTCCCAGTTTTTGTGGTGGCCCTTAGTCCCCAGGCTGCTGTCCAAGGAGAACTGCTGATCACTCTGACCGCACTGCTTTGATATTCAGGACGCATCTCTCCCATGTTCCAGGAAATCCACAGTACCTGTTTTTGGTTCTGACTCAATGTACCCTGACTTTGTCCATCCTTCAATCACAAGCACCCCTCCCCCACCTAGTAAATGTGAAGTCCCACCTTTCTGATTTTGTCCGTTTAGAAAAATCAGTGGAGCAACATGGTTCCACACCTGGCTGCTCACCTGCTGGAATCAGGTAAGCCCTGGGCTGTGCTCACCAGGTAAGATCTCCTGGACCAGGGTTTTCTGCCCTGCAGACCCTGCCCTCCCTTCACAGGCCTTCCTTTTGTGCTGCTTGTCATGCTGAGGTTTGAACAGAAACAGAACCAGGGGGCAGCAGTAGCCAGAGGAACCTGCAAGAGGGACATGCGTTGCTGCCACCTGCCCACGGGCTGGGGTTAGGCACACTCCTCACATGAGGCATCTCATTATGTTGCACCTCTTGATGGCCCCCTGAAGTGGGTGTGATTACCCCTGCCTAAGGTCGTGCAGCAGGTGCATGGCATATCTGTCCTGTCCCAAGTCCATTCTCTTAATCACTGCTCTATGCAACCAGCCTTTGGATCCTGGTAGAGTCTGTGCCCAGGAGGTGCTGTACACTCACAGGCACTGGTAACTTCCGTGCCCTCTGATGGCCTGTGTCACTTGCCCGCAGGGCCCTGAGCTCCATGTGAGCTGAGCCCTGGCCAGCCTGGTCACCGGCACTTGGCTCCCAAATGCACAGCCATGCTGCTGCCCAAGAAAAACATGTCCTGCATAGAAGGCAGGTCCGGAACTCTCCAGAGCACTGGCTGCAGGACACGAAGGAAAAAGAACCGGAAGGCTACTGAGGAAATCCATGTTCTCGGCTAACCTCTTTTGGAAAAACGCCAGGCAATCTTTCTCGACCTTCTGTGTCACAACAATTAAGCAGCTGGTTTATGAACCATTAAGCTGACTGTGCTCATTGATGATATTTTAGGTTCTGTTGAAATTTAAGCTGGTTCATCTTTCATAATCATCCAACAATGGGTCATCCATCACGTTTACAGCTTCAGAAGAGAGCAGCAAGTGTCCCATCCTGCAACGTCTCCCAAAATGTTTATTTTTTCCGTAATTACAGCCTGAAAGCATGGCTGCCTGTGTGGATGGTGGAGAGTTGGTGGGGAAAGCTCCTGCAGCTGCTGATAGGACTCCAACGGGGCCATACAGGCTGCCTCCTTACTCCAAGGAAAAGCCACAAGCGATCAGGAGGCCCCACTGTGCACAGCTGTGCAGTCTCCTGGGCTAGTCCCAAGAGGAGGCTGCCTGTGGCTAGTGGCCTGTAGGGACTGTCACTAGCTGCACAGACTTACCCTGACTATCTCCCCCGCTCTTTACATCTTTGGGATTACCCTGGGCATTGTGAGTTGCACCCATGTCACAAACACAATCCCTGTGTATTCTGGGGGGTGGGAGGCTCCATTCAGAAGCAGCCTGGGCAAATACTCCTGCCCCACAAAACCCTGGAAGTCCTTCATCTCTACTCTGGGGGTGTGAACAGCCCAGCCTGGTCTCGGCATTTGCAGAAGTAACCCTCGCCACCCACACTGGGTCATGGGCAGGGACTAGTGGCGTGCCCCTAGGACCAGCCTTCTGCCCCCTCAGGAGTGCCCATGAACCAGTGTTTCCCTAGATGTCTCCAGAAAGACCAGACCACTGGGGTGCAAGCGGTAAGCCCGGTTGGCACTTCTCAGCTCCTGCCGCAGCAACCTCTCAGCTCCCTTGTGAATGCAGATGTGGAACAGAGCAGGTCCCAGACCAGAAGAGCAGGGCTGTGGGAAGGAAGGGATGGCTCAGGGATGGCAGTAGCCACAGGCCGGGGTCCTGGAGATTCTGGATGGTGAGGGAAGGGATGGGGTCACCGGAAAGAACCAGCCTCCTAGAGACTGCTGAGAAGGAGACTGTGATATGTTGACCTTATTTAATCTCTTGTACCAAAAAAGAAAAACAATTATAATTTTGAGAGATAAAGTTATTGCTGTAAAGAAATTTAATTGTGGCATTATTTTAAAGAAAAAATGGCTCATATGGAAAAAGTATTTGGCCTTAGCGCTGGCAATGTTTCCTTCCCACTGGCTCAGGCTCATGCTTCTGGGCCTGCAGAGGGGCGGGGGGGACTGCTATACTGGGCCCTAAACACACTACCACACAGACACCCGAGACCTAGAGAGACTTAATTATGGTTATGGAACAAAAGAGACATCTTATCAGCTTTGCAATATAAAAACAGCCATCTGAGGGGAGCTGGAGAGGCAGAGGGCCAGGCAGGGCACCAAGATCTTCATGTTGTCGGGGACGGACAGGACAGGCCGACTGCTCCTAGATGTGTGGGGATCAGCTAGCACAGCCCAGTTCTCCTGGGAGGCCCTGTTGCTGTCCCGCTGCAGATATGTGTTCACGCCTGTCTTGTTTTCAGTTGCTCTCTCTTGGCCCTGGGAGCCATCCCTCTGGTTTGTTAGCATCTTCTCTGTGCCCTTATTTGCCAAGGCCTGCTTCTAATGTGCACTGGAGAACAGCTTTTCTCCATTATAATCCATTTATCCCGAAGCTCTTAGGTAGCTTTATGAATATTGGTTTACAATATTAGCCAGAGCTCCCCCCCCCAAAAATAGCCGGAGAATTGCTGATAAAATAGAAACTATTTCCCAAAGAAATTTCATCTAAAAATATAGCAGTTTCCACTCTCACCTCATTGTAGGAGAGTGCACTGGAGGAAAAACTGGGACTTGCATCCAGGTGACAGTCATTTCTAATGCCTCTTCTGTGTTATTCCCAGGAATTACTCAAAAATAGGAAAAAAATCTGTGACAATAGAGGGGTTGTCTAAAAAGAAATGTGCATATGAACAGGTCTTTCCAGCTAGGCAAAACCAATTTTCTGCACAAATAATTCAGAGGAACCAGGATAAAAGCTATATTGATGATGAGGGAACTCAGGACCAAGCCATCTGGGCTTGACATTGTTGCTGATGGATCTTTAAAAGATCGTGCTAGCGGCGCCTGGGTGGCTCAGTCGGTTAAGCGGCTGCCTTCAGCTCAGGTCATGATCCCAGGGTCCTGGGATCGAGCCCCGTGTCGGGCTCCCTGCTCGGGGGGAAGCCTGCTTCTCCCTCTCCCACTCCCCCTGCTTGTGTTCTTTCTCTAGTTCTCTGTCAGTTAAATAAATAAATAAAATCTTAAAAAAAAAAATCGTGCTAGCGGATTCTGTGAGCTGTCTCATCTATGTCTCTCATTATTCCCTTGATCTCTAAAGTGCTTTCAACTCCCCAGAATTGAGTGTGGGGCTTCTGGAAGGGCTGTGGAGGCAGTTCAGTGACTGGGCCTTCCCACCCAGGGCTACTTTATGTGACCCCATTAGAGTGGCCGATGAGGAACAGATCCTGTCCGTGCCACATGCGCTTGATCTCATTCTTCATGGGCAACAGAGAAAATTGCATAATGGCATTATTAAGTATCCCAGAATTACAATTAATTCTAATTAGCCAATAAAATCTTAGTGCACTAAAATCTTGATGAACCAGGACAGAGATAGCCAGAATTGCCATGTTGTATTCCATTTTTAAGAGAAAGAGACAGATCAAGCAGAAATATAATCTAAAACCAAATCATAATAGAAATTCCAGGCAACATTCTGGGACGGATAACATATCTATGTTGGTCTAATATTGCTCTTATCTGTAATGCAGGACACATTCAAATTTGCCTATGGGGACTTTGCTTTGGCTGCCTGGCCCCCTTCAATCTGCCAGGTCCAAGTCGCTCTCCCCCTCCCCACCCTGGAGGTGCCAGGTCCCCTGCCTTCCTCCTGGAGGTCCTCCGTCCCAGCCTACATTTCAGCCTGGGCCTAAACTGCTCGTTCTCATTCCAAGCACTGGGTTGCAGCCTGGCCGTGATTCTCTGGCCTTTGTTTTCATTGTCTTGTACTAATACATCATTCTTGCATATACTGTGGTTAGGACAAGACATACCTCCCACCCCCTCCTCATCCCAATACCCAAGCATCCCATAGTCACAGCCCCCAAATCTCAAGATATACAAGTGGTGAGATGGGTGGGCACCTCAGGGGGCGTGGGGTGTGAAGTAGCTCTGGGGCACCTTCAAGGTGGGCAAACTCTGAACAGGAGGAGTCTCTGCAGCCCCACCCAGGCCATCTCCCAACCAAAGGGAAAAGGAGGCATCACTCTGACCCCTCAGCCCCAGACTGCACAGAGTCTGTTTGGCCATGGCACATACCTTCTCTCCCCATTATTGTGCAGGTTAACTTAGCATCTCCCCCCACCCCCGATTGACACTGGCCCTTCTGTACCCCACACAGGGCCATGCTCTCTGGCTTTTCTGACCCAGCCTCTCCTACCCACTTCCTGGACTGTGAATCATCATGCATCCACGAGGGCCATCAAAGAAAGGCTGCCCTTTGGAGGGCAAGGTCTCAGAGCTGGGGTTGGAGCAAAGGTTGTGAGGACTTACTCTGGCCAAGCAGGCATCCCTGGGACACCCCTAGTTCACACCCCAGGACCAGTTTCCCCATCTAAAAGTGGAACTTTCCCACAGTCCCTTCTGGTGCTGAGCATGTTAGTGAACTTGCCCTGAGGGGTCTCCGCCCACTCCCCAGGTTCCTGACCCCACAAAGTCCAGGAGGGGCTCCTGGCGCTGAGACCCCCTGGGAGAAACGACCCCCCCAGCTAACAATACAAAGACCCCACAAGGCAGCAAGGACCTTCCTTGGCCTCGGGTTTTTAGAACCTAAATGAGCCAAGATGGTCAGTGGTACGGAGGCCACCAGGAGGACATTAAAGTGACCCGTCATAAATATGTTCAAAAAAGAGCATTAGTGTGGGGCACCTGGGTGGTGCAGTAGGTTAAGCATCTGACTTAATTTCAGCTCCGGTCATGATCTCAGGGGTTGTGAGACGGAATTGGGCTCCGCGCTCAGCCGAGCGTTTGCTTGGAGACTCTACCTCTGCTCCTCCACCAGCTCACGCTCTCTCTCTCAAATAAATAAATCTTTTTTTTCTTGTGACGTCCTTGTTGGAGAAACCTTATGCTTAAAATAAAAAACTGCAAGCACCGTGTGTGTGAGCACCCTCAGCTAGAGGTGCAAAGCCAGACGCTAAAATGGCTAACAGGCCGCGCACGCGCAGAAGGAGCGCAGAGCCGCAGCTCTCCAAGACACGGCCACATAAACCGCCGGGATAAGGTGCGGTTCAGCGCACGCGCAAAGCCGAGCACAGCGCCCCTCGACGTCCGGGACAGACGGCGGGGAGGAAGACGCTCTGCGCACGCGCAGAGCGTGGTACCGGAGCCGCGCACGGCTGGAGGAGGCTGAAGGGGTGAGAGGCCCGGCGCACGCGCAGAGCCGCACAGCATGGCCGCTACAAGACGTTAGGGGACGGAGAGTGAAACGGAGACACTGGGGGAGCGGGGCAAGATGGTCGTCGGGCGAGCTGAGGGGTGGGCCCTTTGCAGGCGGAAACCCCAGGTACAGCGTGCGCCTCCGAACTGGGCGGGCCAAGAGTCCCGACTTGAGTGGCCTGGTGCGCGCGGCCGCTCAGCGAGACTCCCACGTGCCTGAGGAGAAAAGGCGATGAAGACGGCACTGCGCAGGCTCACTGTGCCGGCGCAGGCGCGGACTGGAGGCCAGCGACGAGGCAGCCAAGCAGCGTGTGTCTCCCGTCCGCCCGCGGGTTCCTCTCCGTGCTGTGCGCGGCCGCGCCGGGGCCTTTGAACGTCAGGGTCCGCGCAGGCCTGTGACGCCATCGAGAGGCGACGGGAGCCCCCGCGTCCCCTGCCCTGTCACCTCGCGAGCAGGTGGCTCCCGCCGCCCCGCCCCCCGCGGACGTGGCAGCGCTGCGCCCGGCCACGACTCCCTCCGCGCGGCGCGGTGCCGCCCCCTCGGGCGCCCGGGGAGCGCCCGGCCGTCGGCGGTGGTCGCCGGAGCCTGCCCCTCCCGCGCTGCCGGCGCCGGGGGCCGGCTGGCGATCTTCCCCGACGGGGACGGACGCGGCCGTGGGGGCGGGGGCGGGGGCGGGGGCGGGCGGAGCCCCTCGCGTCCGGAGGCGGCGAGTGTGAGCGCCCTGCCCGCTGTGTGCTGGGAGAGGGGCGAGCGGCGCTCTCGCTCGCGTGCCTCTGTGGGCCGTCCCGTGCAGGTGTCGCGTGTGCCGCGCTGGAGTTCGATTTTAGTGGCTGTTCCTGGGAGCAGCCTGGGTGAGGAGAGCGTGTCCTCGGTGGCCGTGAGGAGCACGGTATGGCTTCTGGTGTTTCTAATCGCGAGTTTAGATGAGGGCTGTAGATCGTCTTTTCTTCACCTTTGTATAGTTGTACCCCTGCAGGGTTAAGCCGTGGACCTTTACAGACCGTGTGTGACCCCTTGGCGGCCCCGCCCGGGTCGGGTGTCAGGAAAACCGGGCTTCGCCATCGCTGTCCTTCCGCGTTACTGTCTCTGAAGGAGTAACTGGAGTCGGCAGGTCGTGGCGGATGAACATGCTCAAGTATGGGACTGGTTTTAAATAAAGGAAACTGTGCCTTTACGTCCCCATGCAAGGGAAATGAGGTGTCAGAGTCCCACCTAGGGGTGCACAGGGGGTGTGCGCTGCCCGGGCCGGGACCTTCAGCTCCAGCTCGCCTCCGTGACTGGGCTCCCGTGTTCCGGGGCTGCGCATCGTGCCATCGCCACGCTCCTTCATCCGTTTTCCTCATCTCCCTGATGCCCTTCCGTGTGCTCCCTCGTTCCTCCATCAGCGCTTCGAGACCTGCCTCACGCGGCACCGCTTTGTACCCTTTCCTGACCCTGGAGAGGACACGGAGCCCTCCTTTGTGGGCACACTGTGCCCGAGGACTTGGACCTGCACAACCGGTTACTGACGCCATTCTGTACTGATTGCACTTTGTGTCTCCCTGCCTCTCCTAAGATGCAGCGGGACATGGTGTCTTACTTACACTTCGAGCCTCTCTTAACTCAGTGCCGGGAGCTAACACAGTAAACGCTGTTGCCTGGCCGGCTGAGCGAATGAGTGAACAGATACGGTTTTCCGAAGTTTCTGCCGTGTTCGGTACAGGGAAGGGGCAAAGCAGGCAACTGTGGAGAATGAAGAGGGTGTTTATGCTGTCGAGACAGTCTCGGAGACTGTAGACACAAGGCAAAGGTGTGACTCGGTTGGTGGTGCTGCTGTAGAAGAGGCGGATTACTTACTGAAGATGTGTTGAGCCAGAAACAGTATTTGCATCTTTTTTTTTTTTAAAGATTTTATTTATTTATTTGAGAGAGAGAATGAGAGAGAGCACATGAGAGGGGGGAGGGTCAGAGGGAGAAGCAGACTCCCTGCCGAGCAGGGAGCCCCATGCGGGACTCGATCCCGGGACTCCAGGATCATGACCCGAGCCGAAGGCATTCGCCCAACCGACTGAGCCACCCGGGCGCCCCAGTATTTGCATCTTTTTAAAGATCAGCTCTATTGAGGTATAACTTACGTAAAATAAAATGCAACCCTTTGGGTGTACGTTTTGACGAACTTCGGCACATGAGAGCACCCATGTAACCATGACCGCAGTAGAGATCTGGAACCTCTCCCTCACCAGAGATGTTGCCGTGGGCTCCTTCACAGCCAGTCCCTCACACCCCAGTCCCAGGCACCTGTGGAGACTTGCCCTGTTGTTCGTGCACCGGATGCACAGTGAGCCAGTGACCGAGACAGTGGCTTTGAAGCATAGCAAGCTTTATTTTCGGAAGGGCAGGCGTCATTCCCAAAGCTGCCTTGCTTTGTTGAATCTAGGAGCAGTTTACATATGAGTGGTTGGGAATGTGAGTATGTGAAGGGAAGTTTATGGGCTTCTTGAAACGAGGGGGCAGTCTTAAAACCACTGGAGGTGCACCCTCTCCCGGACAGTGAAGCGCCATCTGGGACCTGGTATACATCAGATACTTTTAGGAAAAATGTTATCATCTGTTTTCCATCAGATTCTTACAATCATTGTGCAGACGGGGTAGAGTGACAAGCGCAAAGTTAATGATGAGTCATGCACAGGGCTTAAGAAAACACAAAAGAGGGCGCCTGGGTGGCTCAGTCGGTTAAGCGACTGCCTTCAGCTCAGGTCATGACCCTGGAGTCTTGGGATCGAGTCCCGCATCGGGCTCCCTGCTCGGCGGGGAGTCTGCTTCTCCCTCTGACCCTCCTCCCTCTCATGCTCTCTGTCTCTCATTCTCTCTGTCTCAAATAAATAAATAAAATCTTAAAAAAAAAAAAAAAAAAGAAAGAAAACACAAAAGAAGAGAACGTGGGGCTAGGTTAATAACACAACTGTAGTACAGCTGATGATTTCACAACAGGTCCCAGAACCAAGCATCTGGCCTCACTTTCTATAATTTCATATGTGTGGAATCATATGGCATGTACTGGTAGTGGTTTATTCACTCAGCACGTCTTTGCTATCACCCGGTCCCTTTGTATTGCTGAGTGCTGTCATCCGAGTTTTCTAGCCATCCTGCTGATGAGCAGATGGGTGTTTCAGGTTTGGGCTGTTGTGAACACTTCTGTTCAGGCTTTTGTGTGGACGTATGTGCTCTTTTCTCTCGGGTAAATTATTTGTGGGGGGAAGCCGCCACATCATGGTGAGTCTGTGTGTAGCATCTTAAGCTTCCAACTTGCTTGTCTTACTGATAAATTGGACGTCACTGCAATGTGAGTTAGGCTCACTCTAATAAGATGCCACTAGACGCCCAGCACAGATAGGGATGTGGTGTGTAAAATGGTAGAGCCACTCTGGGAAAGTTCTGGCAATTTCTTACAGAATTAAGTACATACCTACTCTGTGAGCCAGTAATTCGACTCTTAGGAATTTACCCATGAGAAATGACATTTCAATAGACCCATGTCTGAAAAAGACTTGTACAAAAATGTTTACAACAACTTTGTTCATAATAACCAAACTTGAAAACAGCCCCCGTGCCCATGTAGAGAATGGCTAAACTGTGTTCTGTCCATACAGCCGGCTGTTACTCAGCAGGAGAAGGAAATGAGCTACTGATAAGTACAATGCAGTCTTTGAGGAGGACATCCCACGTGATTCCCAGGGAGCCCTAGGTCCCTTCATGAGCTTAAGGAGGATTTTTTTTTTTTTTTTTTTTTGAGAGAGGGAGGGTCGGGGAAGGAGGGGCAGAGAGAGCGGGAAGGGGAGAGAATTTTAAGCAGGCTCCATCCCAGTGCAGAGCCCAGAGCGGGGCTCTGTCTCACAATCCTGAGATCATGACCTGAGCTGAAATCAAGAGTGAAATGCTTCACCAACTGAGCCACACAGGCGCCCCAAGGAGAAAATTTTCTAAGCAGAGCTCAGCACAAATCGCAGATATGGGGTGTGGTGGGGATACCTTGACATTAAAATACATGGAGAAGGGCGCCTGGGTGGCTCAGTTGGTTGAGCAACTGCCTTCGGCTCAGGTCATGATCCTGGAGTCCCGGGATCGAGTCCCGCATTGGGCTCCCTGCTCGGCGGGGAGTCTGCTTCTCCCTCTGACCCTCCTCCCTCTCATGCTCTCTGTCTCTCATTCTCTCTGTCTCAAATAAATAAAATCTTAAAAAAAAAAAATACATGGAGAAATGTTGTAGTGTTCACTTAGGATGTTTTGGAAAGAAATCAGGTGACCTCTTGTAGCCTAGGTCAGGGCATCTTGGTGAAGAAAGAATCATCATGGGGCCTTTTGACACTCAGGGTTGTGTAAATCCTATGTAACGCTGCACGTTGATTCATGCCACTCTCTGTGGGTAGACAGCAGAACCCCTCTCCCTGCTATTTCCCCTGCACTCTGATTTGGGGGTTTCTCTTGCAGAGGATGGGGACCCTGCAGTGTCTGGGAAAGGAAACTGGACCATGCACAGGACGTAGGCCAGTGGTCCCACCCAGTGGAGATGCTCCCCTGGGCACAGGGTTGCCCACAGTGGGACACGAGGCCACCAAGCTGAAAATGAGTTTCTGCAATTTCTTTCAGTCTAAAAGGCCTCCACTGTGTGAGGATTCAGGAACTGTGCACGGCTGTGGCCATCTGGCCTCCTCAGAGGTGATGCTGAGAGGGTCTACGGAGGCACAGGTGCATTGCTATACAGACAGTCACAGTCCCTGCTGCCCACATCCCTGCACATGCTGTGCTCACACTGCATGCCCTTGGCTTTCCTTCCAGACCCTGAGAATCATCCCAAGGTCTTATCCCATGTCTAGACTCAGGAATGCTAAGACAAAACCACAGCCCTACACACATTCCTGGAGAGGCTGACTTCTTTGGTACCAATCTAAGTGCTGCCCACAGCAGTCAGGCTTGTCTGGACACGGCCAGAGTCAGGCCACAAGCCCCTGCAAACCTCAGCCACGCAGACTCACAGGGCGCGTACTCAAAAGTCCTGCCTGAATCTTGCATATGTATTCCAAGTCTCCAGATCGGAAGATTACCTTTAATACGAAGTGATCACCAGTAATTTGAAAACTAGACAGAAGCCCCTCTGAAAAGGCTGGAATCCTGGCGATGCCAACACTGAAAAGAGACCTGGTCCGATGTAGTAGCTTCCGTCGCCCCGTGTCCACTGTGCATGACCTGCTCCCTTGGAAGGAGTGTGTTCCTGCAAATGCTGTAATGAGAGAGTGGCCTCTGCCGAGTGGTGTCTCCTGACAAGAGGCCCCAGCTGCCTGGGAGGGAGGGAGAGCACCCTGTAGTTGCTCTCTCCCAGGCTGGCCCGTGGGCACGGGGTCCCTATGTGGCAGTATGTGGGGGCTTGTGCCGAGTCACCTCCCATAAGATGTTAGCTTGAAAAAAGGTTTGGTAGGTAGTCTGGGTGCCTGTGTTTTACCCCCACCCCACGCGCACAAGTGGCAGGAACTTGCTGGTGCCCTCCCGACCTGAATCTCCAAAGGGGGTCCCTCTTAGGGCACCACCGGTCTGCTGTCTCCAGACATCTCGACACACTGACCTTGCTTTCCCTGGTTCCTGACCCTGGGATCCTGGAAGTGTATGGATTAACGCAGTGTGAGCCCAGCCCAGAGCAGCTGCAGAGGGACAGGACTGTAGGCCTCAGAGCCGAGCCCGGTATCAGCAGATGGCCAAGAGCAGGCACAGCTGTGCTGGGTCTATGCTGAGTCTATGCTGAGCCCGGACATTGGTGGGGAGGGTCTTGTGACCTCCACCCCAAAGGACAGGGGCCTGCACCCAGCACCTCTCAGCAATTTGTTCCTTTATCCCATCAATTAGTGAAGTGTCTTTCTTCACTGGGATTTGGTGAAAACGTCACTGCATTCCCTTCAGGCACCTCCTGGGTCCTGGGATGAGGCCAGAATCAGCCCTGCAGGCAGGGCTGGGCTCTCAGGCCAAGGTCAGGAACTCAGTCTCTCTCCCCTGGGGAGCCTACTTGAGGGGTCTTCTTGTCTCCACTCCTGAAAAGAGTGAGCCAGTCCCCTCAGATCTCGCAGGACCCCCAGTAGAGTCTAAACTCCAGGGTGGGCAGAGTCTCACCGTGGCTAGAAGCCTCCTCTCTGGGAGATGGAGGATGGGAAGTGAGCCCTGGGAGAGCATTGCCTTCAGCTACCCAGAACACTAGCCTGGGCTCCATCCTCTGCTCCCTGTAAGTGTGGGTCAGCCTGGGCTTCTGAGGGCCCAAGGGCAGAGCAGTGTCCCTGCCACAGATGCACCAGGATCCCAGACCCAGGAGGGCCACCCCAGCCTCCAGGGCTGCAGCCATCTGCCCCTGGCCTCATTGCCTCACTTGCAAACGGCCTTCACCCCCTGTATCACGCCTGGGCTTTCAGAGAAAGCACTGACTGTCTAATGTGCACAGGACTCCCTCCAGAAGTCAATACCATGCATGTGAACTTGAAGTGCCTTTGGCCACGTTAAGCCTGCCCTGGGTCCTTCCCTGCAGTCCTCCTTAAGAGAAAGCTGCAATCATTGTCAGCCTGGTATTGGGTCTCTGCAGCTCATTTCTGAGGGAAGGATGAGAAGGGAAGTCTGAGACAGATGCAGAGGGGAGGGAGGGGGCCTCACGGCACCCATTTGCTTCTGTGATCATCACTGCAGACCGTCTGCAGTCAGAGGCCACACGTCTGATCGGAGCAGGTGCAAGGGTGAAAATGTCTCTTCAGATAAACAATGTTTAATAACATCTTCTCATTTGTATTCATATCATCACCGCTGCTAACAGTGGTGACCCCCTGCCCAGCAAGGAGGCCCACCTAGGTGGCCTTCCAGGAGTTACGTCATGGCCCTGGGTGTCCTGTTAGAGAGCTGGGGCCAGGGAGGCTCCCCTCCTGGGTCCTGGGTGCCGGTCACCCATGATGAAAGGAGGGTTTTCTCTACCATGTTAGAATTCTAAAAGATGGGACATTTTCTGTATCTTAGGCAGCTCTCCAGGACCTTTATGTGCCCTCAACTTCAGTCAAATTTCTAACTGGAAAAGTTCTTACTCTAAGGTGGCTGGTTAGGATCCTGCCTCCACCCCTGATACTGATGAAAATTACTAAATTTTATTTTATTTTATTTAAAATACATTTATTCCTGGGACACCTGGGTGGCTCAGTTGGTTCAGTGTCCAACTCTTGATTTCGGTTCAGGTCATGAACTCAGGGTCGTGGGGTCAGGCCCCTCATTGGGCTCCATGCTTAGCACGGAGTTGGCTTGAGATTTTCTCTCTCCCCCTCCTTCTGCCCCTCCCCCCTGCGCTTGTGTACACTCTTTCTCTTTCTGTATATGTCTCTAAAATAAAGAAATAAATCATTAAAATACATTTATTTCTTCATTGTGAAAGTAACAGAAGGAATACTTTCTGAAGCCAGCAGGATCTGTCAGTTATTTATAAAAGCTGGTGAAAATAGGTAATAAAAAAATAAGGAAGCATACTTTACATATATTTTTAACTTAAAATTTGTAGCTGTGCATTAATTTTTAACAATAAACAATAACAATAAACAAGTTTATTGAGATACACTTTTCATACAGTGAAACCTTCAGGTTTTAACACCTCATGTTGGTAAGTTTTGACAAATGTAGAACATCGGTCAGGGTGCATAACAGTTTCATTGCTCCAGAAAGTCCCCTCATCCCTTGCTGGTCAGTACCCTGCCCAGAGGCCACCGCATCGCTGGCCGCCATCCCCAGATGGCCAGTTCTAGCTCCAGTCGCCACTCTGGTTGTTTCAGTATGGGCCCGAAGACTCCGAGTAAGCACCGGTCTGAGGACTGGGTTTTTAGTCTCTGTTTTTAGTATAAACTATATCCTTAATTTGTCCTCCTAAGATGTGCAGTTTCAGTATTTTTCTGAAGTGAACTGAGAAATCAAGTGTATTTGTAAAGAAATCTAAGACCAGAATTCTTCCAAATATTCAAAAATTATTTTCTGTTTAAGAGTTATCTTGCCTGTACCTAATTCAAAATCGATTTTAAAGCAACTTCAACTTGCCTTTATCTTGATTCTCCAAATCATTTATCTTGGTCTTCATAGAAATAACTTTCTTTCATTTTACATTAACAGGTAGTTGGTTTACATAATCTCAAACAAGCTATGCAATAGGGAGAATGTAAACAAGCAGCATGAACAATTTTAGGAGCAGACCGAGGTGTCCCAGCCCAGCTCACAGTGGAAAGTGGTCTACTGCTTTTCGCCGAGCCTGCAACCACGTGAGTGGTAGAGCAGAGGTGGGACTGTTGCAGGTGCTTACGTGCACACACATGCAAATAGACGGGAACACGCATGGACGTGGTGCTGCGCCCCAGAGGTATTTACTGTCAGCATGTTTCCGGATGGTTGTCCAGTCTCACAAATGCAGGCAAGTACATGGAGTTTACATTACTGCAGGGTTGGAGGGAACAGTCCGTGTGTGCAGCTGCAAGTGCAGGGTCCCCGTAGGCCACTCAGGCTCACTGAGAGCTGACGTACTCATGGCTCTGGTTTACTACAGCAAAGGGATACAGGTTAAAATAACCCAAGGAGAAGGCACACAGGGCAGAGTCCAGACTCGGAGCTCCCAGCTGTCTGCGGACCGCTCTCCTTCCTGGCATCCCCTTGTCCTCACTGGAGCTCAGCATCCACAGTCTTTCCTGGGGCTCCATCATCTGCTGCTCTTGTGCCTGATCTGCCTCTAGACCCTCTGGAGGGTGCCTCGAAACCCCCACCCCAAGTCACAGACTTTCTCGTGGGGCCCAGGGGCCCCAGGCAAACAAAGGCATTGTAGGGCTTAGCCATCCCCCCTCAGGAGCTGAGGGCAAGGCCAAGCCTCTCTTTGGGCAAGGTTAAGTGCTTTACCACACAGTCTTATACAAATGCTTTCTCCCCCCTGGAAAATGGAATCACACCACACACTTTGTTTTGCAACCTCCTTTTTCTGTTTTTGTAACTGGATCCCTTTCCTTGGTCCACAGGGTGTTTTTGAGCATTGTCTTATGGACTCATGGAGTGACAGCTTTGTTCACCTAAGCTGTCTCGAGTTTTCCATCACCACTGTCTGCTCACTCTGGTAGCTTTTGGTGAAGAGAATTCGGTTACTGGCAAGTGAATGTGGGTGGTTGTCTCAGTCTGGGGTTTCAGTAGCAGATTCTGATATGAGGAATTTTTGAAAGGGATATAAAGGGTGTGTTCCCTGGGAGACATGGGATGGGAGGGGGAGGCAGACAGGGGGAGGGTGGTGGGGGGAGTGACTTGGGCTCCATCTCATGGAGGAACTCTGGAGACTGCAGGTCACAGCTCACAGGTATCCCTGTCTAGCGGCAAGGGCGTTCAGGTTCCTACCCCTTCCTGTCAATGACTAGTTAAGGCAGTTAACTTAATTGTCTGTAATCCCCAGACAATTCCATCCCTCCAGGAGCTTAGGGGAAGGGGGTTCTTGTGGCCAGAGGGCAACCCTCTGTCAAATATTCAGAAGCTGGATGTTGGGAGTGAAAGACCTGGAGCTAAGGTGCATAAAAATGGTAGATGGTCAGCTGGAAATGCAGGTAGAACACGGACAGCATCTACTGCAATTAGATCCAAAGACAACATGGCATTCAGAGGGCCACAAGTGCTTGTCTCCTAGAGTAAGTGAGGCTCTCAGTGGAATCCCCTGACCTCAAGTCCTAGTGGGGTGAGCACCTCAACAACCACCCACCATCACCCCTATACCCCGAGCCATGTTTGCTTTGGTGTTGGCCTTCGGCACCCTGGGCAGGGATGGTGGGGGAGTGTCTTTTCTCCTTTAGATGCCACACAAGCTCAGACTTTCCCCAGGTACTGTTAATAGACAAGTAGAACATGGTGACAAAGATGAAATGACTGCTGCCTTGCAGGAATGCCCCTCCACCTGTCCCACCCGTTCCATTTTCTCCATCCTCCCCACCTGCCCCACCCACCCCATCTTCTCCATCTGCCCCACCCACCCCATCTGTCCACTTTGGCATAAGGTTATTTGAGTGAAAGACACTTGGAAAACAGCAGGTACGAGAAGAACATCCTTATCTCCCCTTTTCTTCCTGAGAACAAGAGACAGACCCGGGGAAAGGTACCATCCCTGCCCCAGGAGAAAGGAAGTGGCCTTGCCAAGGGGATAGGAGTCCAGGCCAAGAGAGTTCTGAGACCTTGTTACAATAACTCCCATCCAGGCATTTTGGATACTTTCCCACAGTTTCCTCTTTGTTCACACTAGCATGAAGCATCTCGGTTTTGCCATTTCTCTGGGTCCTCATTCTCCTTATGAGGGCTCCCATGTTATGGAAAACTTACATTAAATAAACTTTTGCATTTTTCTCCCACTAATTCTCAGGCCAAGCCGGAGACCTCAAGAGGGTTGAATGCTTTTCCTCCCTACACCAGACTGAATCCCGCCAGAGCAAGTCCTATCTGTCTTGCTTCCCTCCCGCTGGATCCTCAGTCCCAGAACAGCTTCGGCAGGAAGTGGGAACTGGAAGAGTGAGTGATCAATGCCCACAGCATTCTCATTCCTGCCTCAGCTCTGCTCCGGTGAGCCTGCGAGTCTTCCCTTCTACCATGTCTGCTTTTGCTCATTTGTGTCCTTCAGTCCATAGGCTGGGTTCTCAAAACACCTGTGTTCATGTGTCCCTGAATGTGGCCTTCTACCTCAGAACAGGACCCCAAGGAGAAAATAGGAAGGATTCATATATCTAGTTAAAATACTGCACGAGCAGTAGGCAAAGAACAGAGCAATGACATCATGGGTCCATATATTCAATATTTACACAAAAAATTTAGGACCCTTGGGGCACCTGGGTGGCTCAGTCAGTTAAGTGTCTGCCTTCTACTCAGGTCATGATCTCAGGGCCCTGGGATGGAGCCCCACATCGGGCTCCCTGCTCAGTGGGGAGCCTGCTCCTCCCCCACTCGTGCTTGCTCTTTCTCTCTCGCTGTCTCAAATAAATAAAATCTTTAAAAAAAATTTAGGATCCTTAATGAGTAAAGAGCTTTGAGAGAGAAAACTCTGACAATGACATAGAAAGACTTGGACAGTGCCTCACACATGAGGGAACGTAAATGACCACTTGACCTGAGAGAGAAGGTTCCCCTGCACAAGCCATCAAATAAATGCAAATTGAAACAAGATTCCTTTTCTCTTACCAGAGGGGTAGAGATAAAACATTATAATATCCACTGTTGACAGGGGAGACTGGAAAGGATGCAAATGAGCATCCTGTCTGTACCAAAAGACCTCAAAAGGCTCTCACCTGCGTGGATCTGGGACCCCTTGTCTTGCAGAGAAACATCAACCCTCATCTAAAAATAAGAGAAAAGCATCTCTAGTCCTTGTTATGGTGTTTCCAGAAAATACCTAAGGGGGTTTATATTCATGGAATTTCTTAAATTGCTTCTCTCCTTTGTCCCCCTCTCTATGTGTGGATCCCGTGGAGGCTGTCTCTCGTGTCCCTCTTCTCTCAGCTTCCCTGGGGAAACTGGGTGGATATGGGCACCAGGCTCAGTCTTTACTGTGCAGGTTTAGCCTGTCCGTTCTCCAGTCCATCATGACTTCACTTGTCATGAGAAAGGGGCCATCGCCCTGAGCCCTTCCTGGGGACCCGGGGTCAGCGGTGGGTAAGATGCTGAAATGTGCGGTTGCAGGTGCTGCCCTTTACATGTTTCCGTTCAGCCTCATTGCAAGGCTTCAGTTCTTGAAATCCTTTGTTTCAAGGATTTGGTGTGTTGTACATCAGAATCATCCTGAAGTTAGCAGTAAACCAGACTCTTACCAAGAAAAAACTAGGTGGAGGAAGGGGTGCAGGGAGAGTGCTTTTGAGAAGTTCCAGTCTAAAAATATGTGCAGAGCAACTGCTTCTTAACATCACCCACCCAGGGCATTTGTCCATATCTTGGGGGAGATGCTGCCAGGCTGTGCCAATGCCCTGTTTCTCCTCAGATTTTTGCCTAGTGGCTGGAAACAATTATTATGGTGTGGTTTGCGTAGTGGTGGCATTTTACTTCCTTCATCCCTTCTACGTTTATTAATAAGAGCTTTTCTGTAGGAAAACACTGTTCCTTCTTCCACATTTATGTATGTATTTGGATACTTATTTATATCAATATGGACTCCTAGATTTATATCAATATGGACTCCTAGATGTTTTGGCCTATGGGTGATTATCTAACACTGTCATTATTAATTCAGGACATATTCAAAACCATTAATTTTTCCTCAAATCATTCCAGCTTTGGTCATCAGGAGCTCTTTCAAACTCCTTGATATTTACTATGTGAAATCCTCAAAGCCACCCTTCTTCCTGGACCTCCTGTGGGCAAGGGGAAGGAGATGTGCGGTCAGTTCCCCCAAGGAAGAGTGAGTCTCCAAACTGCTGGTTCCTGCAGAGGTGATTTATCACATAGACACCAAAATCTAAAGGTAAACACTGATGGTAACAATCACAGTAAAAATTACCATTTACTGAGTGTGCCAAGCACTTTGGGCACATTTTCTTATTAAATCCTCATTATAAACCTAGGGTCTTAGTTTCACTATCCTGATTTTACACATGGGGAAACTGAGTCTAGGAGCTACAAGACCTTAGCTGGGTTCATCCAGCTTAAGAAGAAAAGGGGTTGCCGGATCATGTGTCCATTCATTGTTGCTGGTGCCTTCACTCTTGGACTGGCACTGACATCAGTGAGAACGGTGCTTTGCTTACATGCGTCCTTTCCGAAGGCTCTCATCTTTGCAAGGCTGGAGCAGCTGATAAAAAAAGGACCTCTCTGTGTATGCACTGGCACCCCATTCATTCCCAGTGGAGCTCCAGGAGCTAAAAATAACCACGTTTTCTGTTTTATACAGAAAAGAGGAAATGTGCAGTTTATTTTGTAATGTTTACTATTTCTGAAAACCTGAATTTTTTCCACATGTATTTTTAAAATGTCTTTGGAGGTGTCCTTGGAGAAAAAGACACAATGCAGATTTCACCAAGGGTTCCTCCATTCTCTAATCCAGACCTTCAGGAAACAACTGCTGGAGACCAGATCCACTTGACCAAGAGATGGATTTTTGGGAAGCCTCCCAGTTGCAGGTCAGAGGAAAGACAGTTCCCAAAGGGCCCTGGGACCTTGGAGCCCAGGCCTCTGCATGGGCTGCCCCTGTGCAGGGAGGGGTGCATGATACCACGGCCACAGGCTGACCGTGGGAGCCCAGGCTTGGTGGTCCTGAGGGATGAGTGAGGGATGGTAGTCATTCAGCATCGCTCCGACTGCCACTGAGCATGATCTTCATGGAAGGAGGGGAAGCATTTGTGCTAGGCCTTCATTTATGCTTATTTGCTACTTTAGCGAGTTGTTTCTAGCCCAAGAGATGGCAGGCTAGGATGGTGTTCAGTGCTGTTCCCTGCCTTTGCTTCTTGCTGGGACACTGGAAGGTTAAGAAATACCTAAAGAAGAAATGAAGTAATTGCCCAAGGTACAGGAAGCTGGAACGTGGGTGAGTTGTCACAGACCACAGGGGTATTTCCAGTGAGCAAAGAGCAGAGGGACTGTGGGTGGGTGTGGGTATGGTGGAAGAGGATCCCTGCCCACTCCGGGGACCTCAGAGGGCAGGGCTGCCTGGACAGCTTCTGGGGAACTCTCCCCTGCGGCCACCATGGTGGGCCCTTCCTGTCAGGACCTCTCCTGCCACGTGGCTGGCACCAGCGGACCTGAGCAAAGGTGTCTGGGGCATAGAGCCAGGTGTGGGCAGGAGGCAGGAAGTAAGGGGGAAATATGTGGTAAGAACAATGGCAACAAAATGTGTAAAATGAACACGTGTCCTATAGAAAGTCAGTAGTAATTTGGAAAATGTGATAGGGACAAAATTCCTCAGTAGTGACAACTCAGGAATTATTTGGAAAGGCAGAGGCTTAATGTGGAAAATGCTGACAGTCTCACTGAGGTTATTAAAACAGTCTGAGTGAAGGAGAAACACACATCACCTGGAGGCAAAGATGGACTAGCAGGTGGATTCATTCTTCTGGGTTTTAAAGATTTCATATAAGTTGAAACAAAATTATACCTAGATCTTCTAAACCTGCTAATGTGAGTCAAAGCTTATCTGGAAGAATAAGTGAACACGAAGAACCACAAGCATCTTAAGACTATCTAGGACAGAGATTCTTTATCAGATCTTAAACCATAGTACAAAGCTACAATCACTCAAAATGTGGTACAAGAGCTACCATTTATATCAGTGGAAAAGCACAGATTGCTCTGAAAAGAATCCGAATTCATGTAGTAATCTACTAAATGCTAATAGTATCAGTAGTCAAGAAAGGATTCAATCAGTGCTACGGGACCAAGAAATAAACTACCTACATTAAGATTAGATCTTCTTATATGCCCTTAGAATATGATAAATTCTAGACAGATTGGATTTCAAAATAAAACCACAAAAGAGCAAGAAGACTAAACAGAAGAATGTTTATCACCTCTAAGGTAAAAATGACATTTTTTTGGAAAATATGTGAGAGAGCACACAAAAAATAGAATTGGCAACAACAAAAATAAAGATGAAAAAGTGGGGGGTAGTTATAAAAATTTATAGATATACTCCCCTCATATGTAAGAATTTCTTAGAAATGATTGTATCAAATGAAAAACAGACAAAAGACATGAAAAACACAAGAATGATATAGTAAACATGGAAAAATGCTTAGCATCATTATTGATCAAATAAAGCAGGTTTAGATCAGAAATTGTTACTGATTTTACTGTTGGTAAATGGGGCATTTCCAAGTTCTCTGGTGGTGATGGAATGATACAAGTTTTCTTCATCCTTAACAAAAGACACTGAGATGGTCCCTCTTATTCTGCTTCCCTTTCTTGTTCGGTCCCTTCCTAAAGAATTCAGGGCCACTCTCTTTGGGGGCTGAGCTCAGGGGTCAGGGCAGGACGAGGGGGCGTCCAGTGGGAGTGTGGCCAGTGTGGTGGGTCATCGCTCACAGCTGCAGTGGTCGAGGCAGTGTGGGGGCACCCCGAGGGATTGGCCTGAGTACCATTTTCAGTGAAAGAAACAAGGACCTTTTGGACCGACAGCTCATTTCAGTGCTGGATCAGAGAAAGGTAAGCAGGGACTATCAGACTGTGCAAGTCAGTGAGGAATTGCTCTGAGTGATGGGAACATGTCAGATACCACAGAATCTCATGTGAAGGGTCCCATCTGCTAATTCCAGGACAATTGCAGTATCAAAACAAGTAAAATTAGGGACAAAATGAATGTAATAGAAACCACACGTTAAGCTGATGTAAAGAAATACACAAGTTCAAAGTTCCATGAGAAATGGAACATTTCAGTAGGAAATCAGTGGAGAGTCCTGATGCCCACCAGTGTAATCAAGTGATGAAAAGGAACCTTGATGGTAATAGGACAGATTGCCACCTGATGTGTGGTGCGGACAGTCCCTTGTGCAGCCTTCCTGTCAGAGATGCATCTAATCCTGAAGAGACCATCGGTAAACCCAGATGGACAGAAGCTCCAAAAGAGCTGACCTGTAATCTTCAAATGCACCAAGATCATGAGAATCAAGATGAGACTAAGCTCCTCCTGACTAAGGGGGAAGGGCGAAGAAGCTGGCACGCGGTCCAAACTGGATCCTTTTGCTCCAATGGCAACATTGGACCAGCGGCAAAACGTGGGTGGAGCCGAGGATTAGGTTAATGCAGTATAACGGTTAGCGGAGCATCAGTGCCCATTTCCTGGCTTGATTTTGATGCGCTGCCCTGATGCAGCACAGTGTCCAGGTTTGTGGGAAGCCTGGGGAGTGATGGAGCCTCCCAGTCAGCAATTTATTTTTAGAGCAGTCAGAAAAAAACTTGCGCTGCACTTGCAACTTCTGCATAAGCTTGAGATTGTCACATGCGTTCACACACACATGCATGCAGCCTTGAAGTAAACAGACATGCTCTTCGGCCTAGCATTCCTACCTCAGGAATCTACCCTAGGATGGTAACTGGAGTCCCCGCCCAAGCTGTGTGCAGTGAGAGGTTTAATGCATTATAGTGAGACACTGGAAACCAGGTGAGTGCCCCACCAGCAAGGATATGGATCCTGACACAATCCTGGTGAATATCATTTTGTCACTAAGAGTCATGTTTGTGAAGAATATTTGACGACAGTGGAATGTGTCCGTGGTGTGATGTTCACAGAGACAAGTTTGTAGACGAGTATAGCAAAAATATTCCAGTTGAAACAAATGCGCAGAAAAATCTGGGAGTCAGGGAGGTTCAGGAAAGCAGGCAGACTTTGGATGACATAAGGCACGCACAGGGAGGGGGGTGGAGGAGGGTTATGGCACGTTTAGGAAGCAGACCTTACTGCCTTATGGCTGGGCCTTCCCTTAGGAGAGCAGCCCCAGAATTAGCTAAAACTCAGAGCCTAGTGACCTTTGGACCCTCATAAGCCAGCCCATGCCGGGCAGACTCCGAGGGCCGAGCACGAAGGGAAGTGAGCCTTCCAAGGGCCTAGCTCCCATGTGGTCCTGTGGCCTCTGGGCTGCAGCTGGGGCTCTCGGAGTGTTCCCCAGGCTGGGCCACGGGCTCCCCACCCTCCATGCTGCTCCTTCCCCTGTGCAGCCACCCTCTGGAAGGACGGCACTCTTCCCCAGACTCCCTCCGTTGCTCTCCTGTCTTCAGAGAGGACCCTGTCCCTCTGTGGAAGGGAGCAGCCTCAGTGCAGGCCCAGGGTCTGGGAGGAAGTTCCAGGCACAGCCAGTGGCCCATGCAGGGCCATGCTGACAGGTGCCATGGACAGGTCCCTGCTGTGGACAGGTGTGTCCACCCTGATCAGTGTTTCTGTCACCAGCCTGGCACGTCTTGGGCCAGAAATCGCAAATGGAGATGGAGATTCTATAATGGGAAGGTAGTTGTCAGGCTCCGTTACACTCCAATGCCCAGGCCTCCGGACGAGGATTGTAATCGAAACCTGATTGGCATTTGTGCAGAACTGGCTTTTGTATTAACACCTGCAGGCCAGAGCCTAGAGGCTCCTGGACACCTGCCACCCCACCTCTCCACCACGTGGGGCATCCCTCTACCTAGGTGGGGTGTTGTCTGGGGTGGCCCTGCTCCCCCCAGGTTCCCAGGGTGCTGTGCACCAGTAGGTCCCACTTCAGAGGTACTGTGGTTAAATGGGGTATCAACCCCATTCTCTGACAGCTGTGCTGCATTTTCTTGGGGTCTCTGGGTTAAGTGGGCAGGGGGCCTGGAAGGAGGATTCAGGTGCCAGAGAAGCAGCCCCACAAGAATCTGGGCTTCCACAGCCCCAAGTGTCAGGGCTGCAGTGGGGCGGCTCCTATGGGCCTGCGGTCAGGCTGCAGGAGTTCAGAGCCCAGCAGTCACTCACTCGCTCTGTGCCTCAGTTTCCCCATCTTTGCAGTGGGTGTAATCACAGTACCTACTACTTCATAGACCTTTTCAGAAATGACTACAACATGTAGAAACTCCCAGGGCAGAGGCCGGCATGGAGGCAACTCACTCCAGAGTGCCAGCAGACTAAGACCAGCCTTTGGTTCTAAAGACAGAGCAGGCCCCAGATGTGTGTGGGGCCTCTAGTTGGCCTCAGGCTGCTCAGTGCAGAGCAGGTGAAGGGCTCGGGGCTAGAGGTGTGTCACTGCCCATGCATGACATGGCCACCCTTCGGTCACTTCTTAAAGGACAGACAGTGGGGTTCAGGGTCAGCCCCCCTGACCAGTTGGCATGACCTGCTCTGGTGCACTGGGTGTCCTTGGAATTGGATCTAATCAGCCTGGACCCTGAGAGGCAAGGGCAACGGGCTGTTACCTGAGTTTCACAGCCAAGGATGGACTGATGGACACATCTAGCAGGCCAGCCCCTTGGCAGCTCCCCTCAGTGGTGTTTTCTGACCCATCTGGGAGCAGGGACAGGCTGGAGCCCTAGTCCTCACAACAAGATTGTTTCCCCTTCCTTGGACTCATGGGGCAAGCAGTGGAGTTGGAGTGTGGTCCCGAACTCCATTTTGGGGTGTGGAGTTGGGATGGTGGCAAGCTTGAGGAGTCTCTGGGCTCCCAGGAGAAAGCCGGACCAGGAGAGTCTCTTCCTGACAGGAGTCTCACTGAACGGACACCCAAATCTCTAGCAGTGGAATGGGGCCCCAGGGATGTGCACTTCCTTGTCAGATCCAAGGCCCAGGCTACCCTCTGCAGCTCTCCCAGGCAGAGCTCAGCATGCAGAGGTGCAGGTAAGGCTGGAACTAGAGGGAAAATTGTAGCCTAATGTATATGTGAGAATGTAGGAAAACCTAATCACTGGGAAGTTCAGCATTTGTTGTGCATCAGAGCGAGGAAAATTAAAACTACAGTTGACCCTTGAACAACACGGGTTCAAACTGTATGGTCCACTTACACGAGGGTTTTTTTTGTTTTTCCCAAGAAATACAGTACAATACTTTAAATGTATTTTCTCTTCCTTATGATTTCTTAGTAACATTTTTTTCCTCTAGCTTTATTGTAGGAATACAATATATAATATACAGAATATATGTTAATCAACTGTTATCAGGAAGGCTTCTGGTCAGTTGTAAGCTATTAGTAATTAAGTTTTAGGGGAGTCAGAAGTTACACATGGATTTCTGATTGCGAGGGGGGGTTGTGCCCCAACCCCTGTGTCATTCAAGGTCAACTGTATAATGTAATACCAACACACAATGAATCAAATGCCTAAAATTAAGAGATTGGGATTCTTCACTCCTGTCAGTGAGAGTGGGTATTTGTAAGTTTGTGGGATCTTTTTATTTCTTGATCTGAGTGTGAAGTATACAATTGTATTTAGATTATGAAGCTTTTATCAATGTAAGCTATACTTTGATAAAAATGTGTATTTAGAGAAGAAAAAAATGAAAACACACTGACAGTGGGAGCTTAAGTCCCTGCCTGTGTGAGGCCCCTGTGTGACCTTGGACAGCCCCTTTCTTGCTCTGGGGTTCTGTTTTCACAGCTGCAAAGTGTAGAAGGTCATGTAGGTCCTGCTGTTAGATTCTGACACAGTGAGGATACCCCATTTAACCACAGTACCTCTGAAGTGGGACCTACTGGTGCACAGCATCCCAGGAACCTGGGGGGAGCAGGGCCACCCCGGACAACAACCCACCTAGGTAGAGGGATGCCCCACGTGGTGGAGAGGTGGGGTGGCAGGTGTCCAGGAGCCTCTAGGCTCTGGCCTGCAGGTGTTAATACAAAAGCCAGTTCTGCACAAATGCCAAGCATCAGGCCTGGAATACAGAGATTGCTGGCTTCCCCCTGCACTGTGGTTACACAGGGATGTTCCCTTCACCACTGGCCCTGTAGAAGTCTCTTCTGCTCAGTATTATCTACTCTCTTGTTTTCCTCATTTCGTGCAGGACAGGAGGGTGCCTCTGAGAACCAGAGCTCTTGCCAGTGCTCCCTCAGAGTGCCTGGACCATATCAGGCTCACATGCATGGACGGAGCAGCATTTCCACCCTGTGTCCATTTGCATCTGGCCACCAAGCAGCATCAAGGCCTGAGTCCCTGTCCACAGGCATCTTCACGATGACCTTGACCTCAGGGCCCCATGGCCCTCAGCTGCCTGGCCCAGTTGCCCATGATTCATGGAGCCCACAGATTCCCACTTCCTTTGGCTTGTCTAGTGTCAGCCCATCTGTCAGACTGATCTCATTTTCCACTTGGAGGGAGCAGCAGGGGAGAGGGGCCTCCAAGTGAGCCCTCCACTGCCGGGGGGTGGTGGGAAGGCCAGTCTGGGGTGAGGCATAACTCTCACGCAGGAGCACCAGGGACATCTGTGCCTACGGTTCCCATTTCCAGTCAGACCCCTCCCTGTAGCTGAGAAGGAGCCTCTGAGCTTTGCTGAAACCCCCATTTGCTCAGGAAATCTTTCAGTAATAGAGAAGCATTCAGACAACATGTATTGGGCTGTGCTACAGACTCAAGTTCTGTCATCTCGCTTACCTTCCAAACATCCCAGGGCCTGCAAGTGCCAATAGCACCCTTTCGCAGGAGAGCAAGTGGGGCTCGCTGGGTGAGGTGAGCTGCTCAGCCTCCCAGAGGTGGCCCTGGTGCCGGCCACAGTCCCCAGGATCTGACACCTGGCAGTGATCACTGATTCATTCCCTTTCCCAGTTCACGCCTTCACTCAAACAGCTTTCTTTTTTGTTTTTTTTTAAAAGATTTTATTTATTTATTTGACAGAGAGAGAGACAGCGAGAGAGGGAACACAAGCAGGGGGAGTGGGAGAGGGAGAAGCAGGCTTCCCGCTGAGCAGGGAGCCCAATGCGGGGCTTGATCCCAGGACCCTGGGATCACGACCTGAGCCGAAGGCAGACGCTTAACGACTGAGCCACCCAGGCGCCCCCCCAAACAGCTTTCTTGAGTTGTAATTCACATAGCACAGAAGTCACCGGTTCCGTGGTTTTAGTGTGTTCATAGATGCATGCAACCATCACCATGGTTGGTTCTGGAACATTTTCACCCCAGAGAGACCTATGCTTTAGTTCCCCATAATGACTATAATGGCGCAGTTGGCCTGGTCTAGTGGGAGCCACCTCTGGCTTGGCTCCTGGTGCTGCAGGCCCCCACCCGCCCTTGCTGGAACCCCAGCTCAGCGGCAGCTCTGCTGTGCTGTCCAGCCCTGTCCAGCTCCTGATACAGAATGGCTGCTTAGGGGCAGGAGTGTGGGACTGGGGCCACGTGAGTGTAAACTACAAATCAGGCCACGTCCTAACCACTGGAGTGTTGCCTGCCCTAAGGTCTCCAAGGTCATAGCGCACTTTGCCTTAAAACCTCCCGTGGTGGGTACAGATGCTTGACCTAGCTTGGGACCCCAGGGACCTGACCGCCAGTTAAAATAGTTAATATGGCCCAGTGTGAATCACAACAGGCCTTCAAGGACCGAGACTTCAGGCAAGTGAAGGCACAATTGTTCCACTCAATAGCCGTTGTGGCCTATCCATCCACCGGGTAAGCGTCGGCGCCCGGTGGTGGCTCGCTGTAACCTCAGTGCTGCGGGCCCACAATAAAGCTTCACACCCAGTATTCTTAAAATCAGTGACTCCTGGGGCGCCTGGGTGGCTCAGTTGGTTAAGCGACTGCCTTCGGCTCAGGTCATGATCCTGGAGTCCCAGGATCGGGTCCCGCATCGGGCTCCCTGCTCGGCGGGGAGTCTGCTTCTCCCTCTGACCCTCCCCCCTCTCATGTGCTCTCTCTCATTCTCTCTCTCAAATAAATAAATAAAATCTTAAAAAAAAAAAAAATCAGTGACTCCATCTGACAGGAGCCGATACGGATTCTACTGTTACAGATTTGGCTGATTGGTTCTATGCAGTGCCCATTTCAGCCACAGTGTGTTTGTCTTCACCCTGGCAGGTATCTCGGCCTCTCTTCACCGCCGGGTGCTTCTCTGTCCCTGGGAGCCCAGGCTGCAAAGCCCTAGCACAGCACTGCTCTCTCCTTCCAGAGACATGGCCTGAACAGACGGTGGGGTCTGGGCTTGCAGGACGCAGAGCTTCAGAGCCGTCCCTGCTCCTTCAACCAGGAGCTAGCCGTGGCTCAAGAGAGTGAAGCATGCAGAGATTTCTGCTGGCCTGGCGGCAGCCCCTCACCCTCAAACAGAAGGCACCCTCATGTAAGGTGGGCAGAAAAAGCACTTCCTGGGGCATTCTGAGGCACCCTTTGGCTACAGAGTGGTGTCCAAGGCAGGCACAGCCCCACCCTCCCTGATCCCCCAGTGTGCTCAGGCAAGCCTTGGCTTCTCTGGGAAGACAGCTGCTCTGGGAAGGAGTCCATCTGGGGTGGAGTTCAAGCTCTGTCACTCACCAGCTTTGTGGCCTTCAGAGTCCCTTGACCTTCAGAGGCAAGCTCCAGGTGCCCCCCACCCCCCAGCAGGTTCCGGCAGGCCCCTCCTCCTGAGGCTCCCTGTCCTCTGC